ACCTCAGCCCCCTCTCTCCACAAGTTCCAGCTTCCTGGTATTAATTTTTTTAGATTGTAGGTTTGTTGTTTAGAGGAATTACATGATTGGAGTTATTTCCTGCATATACCATTCTTTTGTTAGTACATTTGTGTGCGTGAGTGTATGCATGATCCTGTATGTGTTTATATATTGATAATTAGATCTAACTTCCACAGACGAGAGAAAATATGCATCTTTTTGCATCTGAGCCTTAATATCAATTTTTCTCCCAGATCCACCCATTTCTCTGCAAATGACATTTTATAATTTTTTCTGGTGGATGAGTAAAACTCCATCACACTTACACCCACACACACCCTGGGCTGTTCCTATACCTTGGCTATGGAGACTAGTGCAGCAATGAACACGGTTGTACAAGTCACTTTAATGTATCCTAGTGTGTAATCTTTTGGATTACACAATGCCCAAGAATGCTATCAGTGGATCACTTTGATTTTTTTTACATAGTTCCCTATAGTCCAGGCTGGCCTTGGGCTCTTGAGCCTCCAGTCTCCACTTCCTGAATCCTGGGATTTCATGTAATTTTCTTTATTGGTATTAGCTTGAGAGGCTACCAGATAAAAAGTCTTTATCTCATTTACACGTGAGATAAATAGGTAGGAAATGGGTTTGCCAGCTGTGGACAGTGCCTAGAGTAGTCCTGCAGCATCCTATTTCTCTTGGCAGTCCAAGGGGCTGAGTGGATTGAAAATGTTCTCCACCCTTAACTGGTCTTGGAATTGACCTTGGTGGAGTCACTGAACTGTGCTGTGCGTAATAGTATTTTCTCTCATCAGGAAGATGAGGTAAGATAGAGTCCCACAAATGGACCTAGAGGTAGGTTACTTCAGGTACCGTACCGCCATGATAGAGACAATGTTTTCCAGATCCAGCCTGACCCCTCCATCAGCACCAGAGCCGCCCTTCCACACCTCCCAGAACGAGGGCCGCAGGGTGCTGGCTGAGGAATCTACCAAAGCACAGAGGTGCCCGCCAGCCAGCAAGCGCACGTACTCGCCACATGCCGCCCTCTGGAATGTACTGGGCCTGATGCCCTTCTCAGTCAGTTCCCATCAGCGGGGTGCCAGGCCTAGAACGCTCACACCTGTCAGGCCTTCACCCGTGCTGAGACACATTTGGCTGCCCAAATGTTACCCCAAATGAGCTGACACTGTCACTCTTCTCTGCCCTCTCTCTAGACAGCCCCTCAGACGAGATGATGCCGTCAATCACAACAAGGGGAGGTCTGGTGTCGCCAGCAACCGTAGGCTATGCAGAGTCCCAATGGGACGTTGTGGGGACCGCAAATTATAATCGCATCCATGAAATATGCCACCTCTAACCTCTCTGCATTTGGGCTAGCTGTGACGTTAATAAACGGAGAGCCAGGGTGAACAAATGCAGCAGTGGGACATACCAGACACTCTGTTGAAAATGAACTACACAGCTCGTAAGTGGGCACGGGAAGGAAGAACTGGGAGACAGCGAAGGAAAGGGTGATGTCCAAAATGAAATGTTCTTATTGCCTGACTTACGTAACTGTAACCCCTCTGTACCTCACCTTTATAACAAAAAAAGAAGCAAGAAGTAAATGGGAGCTACAAACTAGCAAAAACAACTCCTTTCACATGCACACACTCAGCAAGGGGGAGACACTAGAAAAAAGATCTCCGTAGTAACAACCTTCCTTTACCCTAGGATTTGACGCCATTGTAAAACCGTGGCGCAACCCATCAGGAGCTCCAGTGCTGCGCTCAGACTAGGCCAAGTGTGTCTCAGACAGTTCTCTACTTGTGTTAGAGACTCAGCACCAATGGCTTTTCTATGCCAGCGACGTCCGTCCTATCACAAAGGAGTGGTCGCTTTGCACCCCTTTCCCGTGGAAGCTAAGGGCATCCCAGGGAGGCAGTTAAAGAGTCCAGTCACTTAAACCTTCCCAAGAAGTTTCAAACAAGTCTTCCTCTCCCAGAATGGCTGTGGAAGCCCCATCAGAGAACATTCTCCACCTGGCATTTCCAAGGCAATCAGCGCCTCACAAGAAGACAGCACAAGACCGCTCTTCTAGGAGCTTTTCCCCTTCTTTCATTCACATGCCTTCAAACAGACCATATTTCTGGAGAACAATTTAGTAAGGACATCTACAGAAAAAAAAGGCCGAAGCGTCTTGCTAAGGCTGAGTGACCTGAATGACGGACGATTTGGTCACACCGGCCTGCATCGCTGTTGTAGGCACCTATGGCGGCCTTGCCCTTCCTCTACCAAAAGTCAACACCATCAGGAATTTGTGTCACCCCTAAGGGCATTTCTGCTACTGTTCCCTGTCTGAAATAACCAGTGCACATTCTGGAGACCTGCTGACCCAATTCTGACCGGAAGAAAACTTTAGACGCTCACCAAGTGTCCGCTAAAATCTCTCCTGCTCACCTGCTTCTCCGTTACCACACATAACAGGAGCTGGCCGAGTCTCTCATCCTATCTATATGCTTTTCAGTCTCTAGCACATGCATAAAACGCACTAACCTGAGGGACAGCCACCGTGTCCTGCGCCGCCTCCGACTCTCCCGGATGAGTACCTCTCCCAGGCTTTCCTGAGCAGTGGTGGGGGCTGACTACGAGGGCCAGCAGGGGACTTCCGGTTCAGGCAGCCCAAGAGCTTCCTTGTAAGACTCTTAACAAGGCTCAGGCCTGTTTCAATCTTCAGCTCCTTCCCCAGGTGTAAGCCTTGGCTGTTAGCCTCTGGAAGGGGACTAAGTTCCGTCACAATGTGGTCTGTGCTGGGGATTGTGGTCCATATTTCATACCCAGCACCCCCCATGCTTGGCACCTTATGGGACAGGTCCTAGCATGGTGGCCAACTTGCCCAGATATACACAAAACCCCTAGTACACACAGGTAAAAACACTAATGCTGAGGGCCAGACCCCATGTGTGGCTCTTTCCCAAACCCATGGTATTAACTAGACTGGTAATCCTAGAGCAGCTACAGCTGCTGAGTGTGAGGAAAATATTGTGTTAGGATCCACCACAAGCTTCTCTGTCTTTCCGTGTTTAAACATTTGTTCTGCTGTTTCAAAATGGTAGTGAAGACAAAATGGCTAAAATAGATGTAAAAATGGATGAAACTTTTGAGACCAATTAAACAAATAGAATGAATAGAATAGAATCCATTTAAAATATGGATTTGTGTTGGGCTGGGAAGATGGCTCAGTGGTAGAGTGCTTACCTGGTATGCATGAAGCCCCCAAGTTCGATTCCTCAGTACCACATATACAGAAAAAGCCAGAAGCAGTGTGGGGCTCAAGTAGTAGAGTGCTAGCCTTGAACAAAAGAAGCTCAAGGACAGTGTCTGTGCCGAGTTTAAGCCCCAGGATTGGAAAAAAAAAAAAGACGTGGTTTTAAAAAAATATAGTAATGCTTCCATTGTTCAAAACATTTTATATTATTTAATATCAATGTTTACCAAAAATTAGTCCTCTAAAATTATAGCCACACCCTACATTTTTGGTAGACTTAAGTTGGTTGCTTAGGCTGAAATGTTAAGGAGATTAAGATCAAGGAGGGATAAGGTGGAAGCTTTTTCCCAGGTATGATCAGAGTAACTCACAAAGAGGGAAAGCTTAATTAGCACGTGTGTCTACATAAGCCGTGGCTGGCTGTGTGTGAATGCAGAGAGTTAGACCCTATCACACAGCTCACGCTCCCTGGCAGAGCCACCCTTCAAGTCCAAGGTTTAAGAAGAGGGTGCTCAAAGCCCTTCCTGGTCAGTCCCTCTCAAGTGTAGTACATGTAAATGATTTTATGGAAATGCTAAAAGGAGTTCAGAATCTAGGCCTTTTAACTAGTTGGTAGGATTTAAAGTGTGTTTTAAATGCCAGCCAGAACTGGGACAGCAAGGGAAGGGGTGATATTGTCCAAAAAGAAATGTACTCTTTACCTGACTTAGGGAACTGTAACCCCTCTATAGATCACCTTTATAATAATAAAAAATAAATTTTAAAAAATGCCAGCTAGAAAGACTGCTGTGAATCTGCCTTCCCACCCAACCCCACTGCTGAGAGTCCCACTGACGCATTTTTTTCCTGGTAGTCAAGAAAGAGCTCAGCTGTTTCGCATGGTCATGGACCCAGGGCCCTATACACACTTCGCTCAGAGTGAGGAAGCCCCCAGGCCAGGTATCAAGTGAAAGGTCAAGAGCACAGGGCAATTTGGGAATAGCCTACAAGCTGGCTGGAGGCCTGGCTCAGCAGCAGAGTGCCCAAAAGTTCAAGACCCAGAGTTTAAACCCCAGGACCACACATACACACACACACACACACACACACACACACACACACACACACACACACACACACACACGCCTAAAAGTTTTCTAAACCAAGTTCGAGTATGGTAGAAATATGTGTACTCTGCAATACAAACTTCTAAAAATAATTAGCACACCTACCTTTATTAATCATAAAATGTAAAAAGAAAAATCAATCATTAGAAATGTAGTCCCAAACACCAAACCAGAATGCTCATTTTGGGAAAAGTCCTGTCTAAAAGTTTAGATCGGAGGTTTTCAAGTTTACTTAAAAAAAAAAAAATTATCATCAAAATCTAGCTCTGATCTGGGCTCTGCTATAAGCTATCAGGTGACCTTGAGCACATTTTGTTAGCTCCCTGCTAATGAGACCACTGGACCTCAGGGTTTCCAGTGTCCTCAATGCTACGGTGGAAGATGCTTTCTCAAGCCAGTGATTAAAAGAGGCTTATGTTACATTATTTCACTTTGCTGGCAAAGAAGAAACAGATGTTTCTTAAAATTCACTCTGTGTGCCCTTCTGGCTACTCTAATGTAAGAAATGTGCCAGGGCCAGCTGTGGGCAGACTTCACATACAAACCTCCTGCCATTCCTCCCGCATCACTGGTACCCTGTAAAATCACAGCTTCAGTGGAAATGATCAACCTTTAACTTTTATAATCAGTTAAGCGGTTTGTAATTTTCAATTACCCATGTTTATTTCCATTCAAATTTTCACAGATTAAAAGACTGTGTTTAGTAGAATCAACTCCTAGGGCAGACGGCAGCACTGATTTCCCATAGAGAAGGAGAAACGTAAGAGTAAGACTCGTGGCTCTGAAGTTCCATGAAGACACCTTCCTGCAGACCAGGTGCACAGATGCTTTCCCACCCATCCAACTGCTGTCTCCATGATGAGCTGAATAAAGACACGACATCTTGTGTCTCACCCAGAACGTATGGAAAGGCTGAAAGGTACAGGTGGCAAACTGTTCTGAGAAAAGCGAGACTCGGGCACTGCTGGCCACTGCCCTGAGGCACCAGGGAGGTGCAATGATGTGTACGACTCCTCAACACAGCAGGCTCTCTCCCCTCAAAGGGAGGCAAGGAGCTAAGTAAACAGCAAGATTCAAAAAGTGTTTGTTGCAAGGCACCAAGGTACAGCCAGCTTTATAGAAAATCCAGAAAGAAAATATACTGAAAAAGGGAGTTAGTTCTCAGTAGAGGAATCTGTTATTACTGCAACTAGTGAGACAATTACTTCAGACAGACTACATTGAGATGCACACTGAGCAGCTTCTGCTGCAAGGCACTGGCTGAGCAGAGCTCCTGCCCTGTGGGCGGGTGGGCCTGAGCACCCGGGAGTTCCCCAGCCCTCGGAGGTCTTGATAGAAGCACAGAGGCTGGGGTCACTTGTATTTGTAATACCCTTCTCCAGTCTTCTTGCCCAGCTTCTTCTCCGCTACCAGCTTATTCAGGGACGAGCTAGGCTGAAACAGGGGGTTCTTTGCATCCATTTCATGCCATCCTAAGGAGAAAAGGCACAAAGAACTGGGCTTACTTTGAGCTTGGTATGTCCAGGGATGTCCTGGGGCACTCCCTACTCTGATGGGGGTGGGTTTGGGGCAGTTTCCTATGGAGTTTCCCTAGGTGCAACCAACATGGGCCTCAAGTCAGCTTGCTGCCACCTAGTGGTGCTGCTAGCAGTCCATCGCCACTGTGGTCCTAGATGTCCATCTTCTTCCTACAAATCATACAGAGGCTCCCAATTCCGTGGAGGTGCTGGGTGCATGAAGGACGTAGTACAGTTAGTTTTCAAAACATAAGGTAAATAAAACCTAAACTCCACTGACTGCGCTTCTGCATCTTCAACCAGGACACCAGTTCTCGGCAACACATAATTTCGTGTGTGACACATGAATCATGAACTACATCAGCTCCACTGCTCCAGTCTTAAGAATTATCTTTTTCCAGTCTTCGGAACTGCCACATTTAAATGGTCATAGTATCTTGGTCTCCACAGAGATGATACAAACAAACCAAAGTGATCAAATGCCACAGTGCACAAGTGTCACATTACAGATTTTGATATTGTACTGGTTCTAAGATGTAAGCAGTGGAGAAAGGGGGTGAAGAGTACCCAAGACCTGTATGTGTTATGTTCACAACTTCCTGGGAATCTGTAATTACTTGAAAACATAAATAAAGGTTACGTTCTTCCTTCTGTTGACTTGAACTGTACCCTGGTGCTATGGTTTCCATATGCTTTGCTCCCCAATGGACCATGGGCTGCAGCCTTCCCACTGTGGCGGTGTGGAAGTGGTAGAACCTTTAAGAAGCGGGGCTTGACTACATTAGTTCTTGAGAGAGTGGGCTGTTATAAAGCCAAGCCATTCCATACACACATACAGACCTCCTGCATGTAGCTGTTTCTACCTCTCTGTCAGGGGAGCCCTTGCTCAGGCACCAGGCTGTTTATAGACTTTCTAGCCCTCAGAATCACAAGCCAAACAAACCTGTTTTCTTTATGAAGTACCCAGCCACAGGTACGTTATTATAGCAAGAGACATATGAAGACACCTAGTGAGGGAGGACTGTGGAAAGTCTAAGATTCCTTATGATGTTTCAAACAATTCATAGTTCAAACTATGGAATATAGATGCAATCCAGTTTAAACACAGATGACAAAGGATTCCAGTTCTTACCATCCAAAATGAACTTCGTGGTATCCAGCCCCACATAGTCAAGAAGCTCAAATGGACCCATGGGGTACCCAGCTCCCAGCTTCATCGCCGTGTCAATGTCCTCCTTAGATGCTTCCCCTGAGGAGAAAAAGGTGGCAGAGAGTCAGTGCCAACACCCCAAATCCTCCCTGCCACAGCGTCAGTCCTAGAGTTGCAAGAATTTTACATAGTTGCTCATGTAGAGCAATTCTAGAATCTGTATCTGGCTTGGGTAAGATCGCATCTCAGAGGCATGTGCCAAATAGCTCATATGCTTCCCAAAGCAGCTGTGCCATGAGGTGAACTGTGGAGCCCTGCTGTTTGGTTCATGGAGAGGGAAAAAAAGCCCTGTGCCTGGGAACAATGGCTACTCTGGTAGGTTCGAATTCCCCAGATCCATAGTCATTTACTAAACTATTAAGTAGTACGACAAGTTTCTGTGTTCTAAATGGGCTCTAAACACACACACCCACACCCACACCCACACCCACACACAGTTTCTGATTTTGTATATACTGCAAATTAGACACTCAGCAAGACAGCCCTCTGAAGTGATCGTGACATAACAGGAGTAGAAGGTACAAATGCAAAACCACATAGTATCAGTGCTAAAGCACATGCAGAGCTGACCTGCACTGTGAGCAAAGACAGAGAGCTCCCCAGGCTTCACCAAACCACCCTCAGCCCTAAGGCCTTGTTCTAGAAGGGTGAAGACTCCAGCGGAGAGGGGGCCAGGAAGGCCACTGTGAGTGGACAGAAGCACGTGCAGAGAGAGTAAGGAGGCACATGGAATGTCTGGGCTCCATGTTTGGATCCATACTCAAAAGCAGATTCTGCAGCAGATTCTGCTCAGGATTTCAAGGCCCGAGTTCTACGGTACCACAATTGCCTCTGGATGTTGCAAGTAACCCCCCTACACCCCCAGGCTCTGGATAGTTCACACCTCACTCCTGTGGCTTTGGATGCAGAGCATTCTGCTATTACATCAGAGCTCAGCCTCTTCCTCTGCTCAGCCATTACCGCATGAGAATCTCCACTTCCCGCTGCTTATAAAACAGATGTTGTCGGTCCTGACCAGGCTTCCCACCACCGCTGGCCATCGCCACAATCATTAGCCAAGCCTAAGCCTTACCCATGGCCCACTGACACAGGCAGTCCCCCTCAGTACCACACGCACTCTGTGGGGACAGAAATCTAACAGCCTAACTTACCCAAAGCCATTTAATCAATCAAATCTGGATTCAAGGACAGGCAATGGACCCTAAAAGGCAAGACTGGAGACTCAGAAACGTGGGGACTCTTTGTTTCCAAGAGCAATAGGAAGGTACTGTGTGTACTGTAGAGAAATCTCAACACTTCTGTAAAGTCAGCATCATTCTTAAAAAAATGTTTTTTTTTCCTATCTGAGCAAGAGATAGCAAAGACAGCATAAGGAAAAAAGAAATAAATTGCACAAAGTGCACAGATACAGACACGCAGATACACAGACAGACACACTGGTGGGCCAAATGAGAGTAAAGTGTGGTATTTTATTTTAACTGATAATCCATCCCTAAACCTCTCTAAAGTAATTGCCTGAGGACTGCCCGGCCCTCCATCAAGCTGCCCATGCTCACCTAGCTCTCTGTCAACCTTAGCAGGCCATGGGCTACTCCTCTCCCTGCCCCAGGCTCCGAGTCCCTTAACTCCAACCAGACAACAAAGAAAAGAACGACTTGGGTGACTCTGAAACATGTGTGGCTGGGGAGAGAGACTAGGGACCTAACATCTGTCTTTCTTCAGCTCAGCAGCACCACCTGCCAACCATTCTTGGCATTAACAAGAGACTCTTGGCACCAAGGAAAACCAGGAGGGGGGAACTGCCAAATGCCTGAGCTGAGCAAGCACTTTGGGGGCATGAAGGCCTTGGGACACTGCTCCTGAATAGAGTAAAGAAGAGACAGACACATATCTGGGCAAGTGCCAAAGAGACAGCTGAGCCATGAAGACAGCTGCGAGCAAGGAGGAGACCATAAAGCCCAACGCGGGCACCGTGAGTCGTAGTCAGTCAGCAGTGGTAAGGATGGCCGTGGCCACAGCAGAGCTGTGGGCAGCAGGCAAGTGTGGAGGTGGGGCCTTGTGGGGCCTTGGAAGTTGTGCAGCTGTGGGCGGCCCTGACAAAGCAGCTGGCCACGTATCCTTCCAAGGAGCCTCCACCAGGGCGTGTGCCACCCTGTGCCCCAGGTGTTCCCAGAGTGGACATGAAGTTTTTCCCAGGGGAGGTGGGGAAGGAAGAAGGAAGTCTCTGCATCTGTAGGGCTTCTCTGTGTGGATGGACTGTCCCCATCCCCAGCAAGGTGTGTGTGCAGGTGGTGTGTGCGTGCGCAGGTGGTGTGCATGTGCAGGTGGTGTGTGCATGTGTAGATGATGTATGTGTGTGTGTGTGCAGGTGGTGTGTGCGTGTGCAAGTGGTGTGTGCAGGTGGTATGCGTGTGCAGGCAGTGTGCGTGTGACAGCACAGTGGTAGAGTGTGGGGGGGGGGGGATATAAAGGGAACAGGTATGATGGGGGAATCCAAGGTGACAGATATGGCAGGCAAGAGAGGGAGCATCCAAGGGGCTTCAGGTGTCAACGTGGGACTGCTGAGTCGCAGGCACAGAGCCAAGGAGGTTGATGGGGTGTGGTATGGGTCTAGGCATGCCTCTGTGCTGGCTAACAGAAGGTCACAGTTAAAAGGCCGTGTTGTACATGAAGGAGTCTGGCATACTCCACAGCATGGAGGGCTGGGGATCTGCCCCCACCTAGACATAACATTGTGCAATTTGAGGACAGATGCTCTGACTCAGGCCCCAGAAGGCCAGGAGAAAGAGGCCAAGGAGCCATCAGTGACACACTGCCAGGGCAGCGCCAGGGGTATGATAAGCATGTTTTGTGGGGATCAGATCCTGCCCTTCTTGCTGCACCCCACAGGGAGCTGGTGATGGGGAGAGGTGGAGGGCTTCCACCTGCTCAGAAGAAAATGACTTTCATCTGAGCACCAGAGGCTCAGTGCATGGGAGAATGTATCAAAAGGACAGTATGTTTCCATGAAGAAAAACACCGTGAAGAGATGCTACATCCTAAACCATTACACGTTCTATTAAAAAAAAAAAAAAAAAGCAAAAGAGAGAGAGAAAGAAAAAGACTGTCTTTTAAGGCAGGTAAAACTGCTTGAGTGCTTTGAGGTGCAATTAGGTATATTTGTTGATAGATAAACAGAAGTGTTGGTTTGATCTTGGAGCAAAAGTGAGGCAATTGCATAAGCCATAGACAAAAGTTTAATATTTAAAGCAGACCTGGAGGAAGCAAATGTGCTTTCATCTCCCAGGAAGAGCAGGTGGAAAGGTTCTGTTTCAGAAATGACATGCTTGGAGAGAGTATTTGTGAATGAAGTCCCTGAAAACAATGATTACACTTGCTTTTTATCCAGTCCAATTATGGCACGTTTGCCTTTGAAGCAGACATGAGAGCTATCTTTCCCAAACCCAGGCAGAGAAGAGTCTGGAGGATGAACATCAATTAGAACCGTGGACCATGTCCCAAGACTTATGTTTCTGTAACAGGGTGTCACTCTTTGTCAATCAAAACCTGAGGAAAAAGTGTTAGACCTTTCCTGAGGCATAAAAAAGTACATCACGCCAGAACTGGAGGCATGGGTCAGGTGGTAGAGCATCAGCAGTTGAGCAAAAAAAGCTAGGTAAAGTGCAAGATCCTGAGCTCAAGCCCCAGTTCACAAAACAAATAAAAAGTACATCATGACATCTCTCTCAGCTGCTAGAAATCTTTATCCATATCAGCCTTGTCCCTTGTCACCCGCCATAAGGTCACACATTTTAGAACCTTAAGCTAAACATCCCCTAATCTAGTGATTTTTACATGATTATTTCCTTCAAGTTGTAAACTTCTAACCTAAAGCAGAAACCCAGGATATAAATCTGGACCAGCGAGGCAACTACTCTGGCTAGGACGGAGATAAGAGCATCTCAGAGCCACACGGGGAGCCTGAGCCCTGGGGACACAGTGACAAAGCCTGCTTCTGCGCTGCAGAGCCTGGCCCTTTGCTCCACACTGCATGAGAGCTCCAGACCCCAGGCTGGCCTGGACACATACCTCGCTCGTGCAGCCTGACCGCTTCCAGGAGATATGGCACCAGGAGGCGGTTCACAATAAACCCAGGTGTGTCCTGTTTCAGGAGAGAGAAAAGCGACTTTCTATTAAACCCAGCATTCCCTTTTTACCATGGATGCTGCTGCTCCTTATGGCCGATTTCCATTCTCCTTCTATCTCCAGGCATCCTTTCCCTTTCTCCTCTCAGAAGAGGTACCACTGCCTCTTAAGAAACAACTGCAGGATTCCTTGGTGCTTTCCCGGGCTACTTAGCATCCTCTCGTGTCCCAGTGCACGGTGCTGACTTGGGAGAGGCACCAGGACCAAGGACAGGTTGCGCCGGCTGACCTTGTTCTGCACCATGTGACACCCGGGCCCCTGGCCCTGGAATTACTCCTCATACTGCACTCTCTCACGGGTTCCCTCCCTATCTCTCCCTAGCATAACCAGTGTAGAATTTGGACTGTTAAGTACTGATGTCTTCAGGGTTGAGGAGAAAGCCAGGCTGGTAAATTGTGGTGACATTTATATACAGCTGATTGCTAAGTAAATGGTGTCATCTCTTACCAAACACGCTGACCTTCCTGCAGCCAGAGCCCTTCTCCTGCTGGGGCCTGTCATTTCATAGCTGACCCTACTGGCCATGTGCTGTGCAGCCAGACAGGAAAGCAACGGCACCTCTTCACTTTGGGCACACTGGCACCAAGCCCACACCTATCATAAGGGTGAGTGCTATCAACTTAACCAAGACTGTATCACTGACACGAGATGTCTTTGTAACTGAGGCAAAATATACTTTCAACTTTAGAATCTGAGCTAGGGCACATGGGAATAGAAAACGCATCACATGTAAAGGAAAAGAAGTCAAGAAAGCAGCCTGCAAAACAATTTGTCTTAATTATAATAGCTACTATCTTCTATAGAAATCACTCATAGGGCCTGTCTGAGGTCCTATGTGTAGGACTAGAGAGAAGTAGATTATGGTAATTATGGCAAATTCATAGCCACCCATTCATCATCAAGTATTATGGAGTGTAAGCAATCATATTGCTGAAGGTTTTTAGCCAACTGGCAGGGTAGTAGGCCTGTTTATGCAGCAACACCACAACATGTAGTGTATTATGCTACGATTTCAGGATGGCTATAATGTTACTGAGTAATAGGAAGTTTTCAGTTCTAGTGTGGGACCATTATCACGTCTGCTGTTGACTGAGCACTCTTAGATCATGACTCTATTTACTCTCTGGCCTTTTGCAGATTCCCTGTTCCATGTGGATGCCTGAATAAGCCTCATTGAAAGCTTGAATAACTGACCCAGAGAAATTCTCAGAAACCCTCAGGACACCACACACAGGATCTCAAAGCATAACAATTTTCTGAGACCACCGAGCCCCTATCCTTGCAGCTGCTGTGGCCCCTCTGACAGGAGAACAAGGCCTCCAGCGACCCCATGGGTTAGTACTCATGCCCATGCTACTGAGAACCCCTGGCTTTCCCCATACATCCCTTCCTACCTCGGGCCTTCGATTTGGCCCATGTGGTGTTCTTTATAACACAACCGCTGCTTTCTCTCCAGCGAAGCACACACAAGTGAGGATGTCCAAGCATAACAGCTAGTTATGTGATGTTCTCTAAATCTAGATGATTTCAAGTGACACAACCCAATAGTGAGAAAAATGGGTGTGGAAAATGAGATTCGCTGAATAACAATGAACTTCAGACTCGGGGATGCCAGCACCTACTAGTCTTCTCTTTAGCTACTGGGGTATCAAACATTTCATTTCATTGGGCTGGGAATGTGGCTTAGTGCTTGCCTAGCATGCATGAAGCCCTGGGTTCTATTCCTCAGTACCACATACACAGAAAAAGCCAGAAGTGGCACTGTGGCTCAAGTGGTAGAATGCTAGCCTTGAGCAAGAGCAGCTCAGAGTGCCCAGGTCCTGAGTTCAAGCCTCAAGACTAGCAAAAAAAAAAGGGGGGGCTGGGAAGGTGGCTCAGTAGTAGAGTGCTTGCCTTGCATGCATGAGGCCCTGGGTTCAATTCCTCAGCACCACATAAGCAAAAAGAAAAAAAGCTGGAAGTGGCGCTGTGGCTCAAGTGGTAGAGCGCTAGCCTTGAGCTGAAGAGCTGAGGGACAGCGCCCAGGCCCAGGCCCAGGCCCAGAGTTCAGGACCCCCCCTCAAAAAAAAAATCCATAAGAACACACTTCATTAATGCTACTTTGGGCAGGTCAGTCTCTTCTGGCCATCTGCACCATCTGCAGTGCTCTTGCCAAGTCTAAGGTCTTGTTTTCTGTCAGGGATGTGTGTGCCCACGAGGCTGTACCTGATGCACATGGCTCCAATTTCCAGGGGCCAACAGAGTTAAAGATGGTGAAGCAACAAAATCAGTGTAGAAAAACAGAGAAAGTCAGTGGCCAGCTAGAAACCCCGAGTCTTCCATCTGGGTTCGGTCTGTAGATCACATCTTATATGCCCTGAACATGGCTTAGCAATTGGGTTTCCTGATCCACATGCCAGAATGGAGTCACAGTCTGCTCTTACAGCACTTGGACAGTTATAGTAAAAGTGCCCTGTATTTCACATCATCCTGTTATAAATATCCTATTGGTTCCAGGGAAAATCATCTCTTCCCATGCTATCTATATTTTGGATGTTTGTCCCTCTAGAGGTTCTGTGTTGGGAGCCTGGTCTCTTGGCATGTAGCATGAAACCCTTAAGAGATGGGGTGGTTGGGAAGTCCTTAGGTCACAGGAAACACTGCCTATGGAAGGGAAACTGGATTTCTAGAGGGAGTTCTTCAAGAGCTTGACTGAGCCTCTCTCTGTCTTCCTGTGTGGAAATGAGATCCCTCCTCCTGCATGTGTTCTGGACGGTGCCTCCACTGGCCATGAGGGCTACATGAGAACTGAGCCGAGGCTGGCGTCCTGCCTATGAGTCTCTAGATCTGGGAGCTTAAGAAATCCCTTTCTTTGTAAAGCTAGTCTGCCTCAGGTATTTTGCTATAGTCACTGAAAAAGGACAAGCACATTACCATACTCTACCTTGCAAGAAACAGGATGCTTTCCCAAGGTTTTGCTGAAGTCCATCAGAGATTCAAATGTCTTCTGGCTGGTCATCGGGGTTTTAATAACCTGGAAATGCAATGCAGAGAATGGTGATATAGAGGCAATAGAATGGCTCAAGGAAACACTGATCTTAAGGTCCATACAGGTGGCAAAGACTGACTGCAGTTTTAGCACCAAAGTAGGGATCTCAAACCAGAAACAACATGTTTACCCGAATGTCCATTAAAGGCAATGGAGTACTATAGAATGTACAAAGTTAAGGCTTCAGGTACCAATACGTGTTTGCATGGGTGGGCGAGGAGGAGTGAATGCAGGACATTTACAGGAATCCCTGAAACAGTCTTGTGTTCAAATCCAAGTCACACCACTTAATAGTCCAGGGTATGTTTCTTGAAACTCAGGTGACACTGAAATCATTCTATCTATCCCCAGGAGCTGAGGCAAGAAGAAAAGAGACTTGGGGTGAAACAGAAAGCACAGCCAGTAAGGTCTTGAGTGCTCAGAAAATGCTGGCTCTTCTTCCTGTTTGGCGTATGACCGCACATCCTGTCAGTGCAGTGCACAGCATGGCACAGGAGAGCACGCTGACTGCCCTTAAAGTGCTCTACTGTAGGTGAAGAGGCTCAGGCAAAGGGGTCACCTGCCCAACGCACAGGCCTAGGGGTCATCCTTCCATTCACACACCCATTCTCACCCGGTGCCCCAGGGCCCATCCCCTGTGCTTCAAAACCCAAGTCCTCCCAGGCAGGCAAGGCTTTAGTTCACAGCAACACTCTCAAGTCAGGCCAGGGCACACGTGCAGGCCTGCTGGAAGCTGGGGGAAGCAGCACGAGGCCAACTGATGGGAGTTAGGAGTTGAATAAACGGGAATCACGGTACGTGAAACCCAAATCACAGAATTCAAATGCCAGCATCAAAGCAAGCAGGCATGGCTTCTCCCTCAGACTCTATGTGACCCAAGGTGGTGTTGTCCCTCTCTTGTATGACACCGGCAGTGTGATCTCTGGCAGGGGAAGATGTTGGGAGGCTGAGATCTGAGGATCAAGGCTCAAAGGGAGCCTGGGTAGAAAAGTCTGTGAGACTCTTATCTCCAAGTAACTACCAGAAAACCAGAAGTGGCGCAGTTACTCAGAGCTCAGGGGCAGAGCCCAGGCCCAGGCCCTAAGTTCAAGTCCCATGACTGCCCCCCCCCCAAAAAAAGGGGGCATAAGGGAACTCCCCCTCTCTTGCATTGAGTGACACAGTGGGGTGCCATGACATGCTCTACTACAGAAAAGAAAATAAATGAGTTGCTCTACAGGGCTCATGGCCTCCAAGGAGGACAGCCTCCAGGGAGCAGCTCCAAAGGAGACTGAAAAGTCCCATCCACCTCACACTGAGCCACGACAAGGGCTGTTATGGCAGAGCCCTAAATAAGCTGTTGGTTAGAAGGCGTCAGGGGCAAGACTGCTGCTTTCATGAACAGGAGGGACTCCTGTCCACAACCATTCGACAAAGAGCAATGAGCTCTTAGGAGTCCACTCATAGATCCACAGGCCGGGTCCCGAGTGGGTGAGGAGACCTGGGCTGTCTAGCTCACGCACTGTTGTACGCACTGTCTTAACACATGTAAGAACTGATAGAGTCAAAATGGAGTAGAGTAGCACATTTCCACAGACTATTTTCTAGAAAATGAGAGCGTTTGCTAAGCTTTTGCTGCTAAGAACCAACACATCACATTTCCAAGGACACAGGCAGACAGAATCTGGTAAATGCAGTTGAAAACAACATTAGTTTTAAGGAGCTCTACAGAATATCTGTAAGACACACTGAACATGTTAATTACTGCCTGAGTTCTGAGATGTGACAATTCTGTGCCACATCTTGACTCTTTCCTGAATGTGAATGCCGTTTCTTATTTCCACAGAGCTCCAGATCTTTAAAAGCAGCCTTACAGATGGGTAACTGGAAGACAATGGTGGTGGGCAGCTGCGGGAAGGTCAGAGTTGCCACTCGAGGTACAGGGAAGTGGAGTTGTTACAACTTATGCTGTCGTGTGCCAGTGCGGGAGATAAAGGAGGGACAGGGCTGGAGAGGGAGCAGTGGACAAGCCTGCGGGCCCAGCCAGTTGAGGAGGTCTGCCTGGCTCTACACAGCAGCTTCCCCCACCATTTCGCAGAGCAATGACTCCTCAAGCTCTGAAGAAATGCTGCTTTAACAGCAGCAGCTCCGCAGACTCTGTAATTAACCCCTACAAAGGGCAAGTCACTACATTTCAGGGGCAAATGATCTACCCTCCCAAATTATCTACCCTGATCCCGAAGCAAGCAAGTGGGTGGCAACAGCCCAAACAGCAAGCTGGCCAGCCCTGTCTGGCCCTTCCCTCCGCCTCTCAGCTTTGTGGTCGGGAGTTTTGTGGTCAGGAGGTTCAAAGCTGTTGGAGGACGCTTCAGTAGCTCGCATCCCAACACAAAGATATACCTCACCTGGGAATACTAGAGCACTGCTCTCTGGGGCCAGAATTCAACCCAGAGGCCTCAGACTGGATGGTGCAGAAGGGCTTAAAAAAACAAAACAAAAACCTGTCTACTCCATGAAGCAAGCTGACCCGGACAGGCTAACAATGACCATGCAGAGGTTCCTCTTTCCCCTCTGTGGTCTCCTCAAGCCAACAGCCTCAGCTGACCATCACTGTCCATCAGCTCTGATCAGTAACAGACATCAAGTGCTGCTTCTGCCTTTGACTCTGAGGAGGAGATTATGGCAAGAGAAACATCAACACAGGGACGTGAACATATATGTGATGTGGTGCCTAGTGGCAGGGCCGCGATCAGCAAGCAGGACTGCAGGAGCCGGAGGGCAAGCAGACAGGGAGCGCACTGACCTCCACGAGCTTCATCAGGGGCACTGGGTTGAAGAAGTGCAGGCCTGCGAATCGATCCTGTCTGGTGGTGGCATTGGCTATGCTTGTGATCTGCAAAGAAGAAGTGTTGCTGGCAAAGATGGTGTGTCTGCGGAGAGAGAGATGGCGGGAATCACGTGAGTCTCATCTGGGCAGAGAACCCTGCAGGCTACAGTGGTGCTCAAGGTGACTGCTTCCTGTCTGCATTCCCAACCTATCTGGGCTATCTTCACGGGAGAGACTAAAAGTCAAGTGAGTGCGGTTTTATTTACATTTGGAAAATGAGAATTTAGTTTCCTGTTCCAGAAGTATAACCTTTGCCTATCTTTTCTTAATTTTCAGGGCCATTTCCTTAGGTAATTTTCCCTTAGGAAATTTTCACAATATGTGGGGTGAAATAGAGGCTGTTAATTGAGCGCGCAGGTTAACTACCCTCAATTACAAAGAAAAATTCTAAGTGATCAGACTTATGAAGAGAGGCAAGCTTTCCCCTTCAAATAAAGAATTACTTTTCCATTAGATGGGAATTCAAATGTAAACAGAATACTTGAAATATGGGCCAAAGGAATGTTAGATCACAGAGGCAGATTTGGGGAAAGCAGTATCTATGAATAATACATGATACACACTCAAGTTATTCTGCTCACAGTCTCCTGAAAAAGCACTACCATCTTTTTTGTGTGTAGAAAACATTAGCTTACTAATAAGGAAACGCATATGGAACTTAAACCAAATCTGAAATCTTCAGGCCTCAGTAAAGTAAGATGCCGCGGTGAAGACAGGCAGATCTTTTAAGCAGACAGGCAGAACTTCTAGGTTTTCCTACAGCACCACCTTGTGGCTAGAGGTACATAAACCACCCCAATACCAATTACTAGTTAGTGACAGGTCACAGTGCAGACAGCAGTGGTCCCTGACTGACCAGTCTCAGGGGCTCCTGCTTACCCCAATGGTGATACCACAGTGAGAATAAAAATGAAGACAGGTGGGAGGGGAGAAGGGGAGGAAGAAAACAGAAATTTTGGATAGGTAAGAAGAGAGAAGAGGCTGGGTCAGATGTGGTGGCGAACGCCTATAATCCCAGCACTCAGAAGGCTGAGTGAGGCAGGAACACAGCATTGAGAGCGCTATAATAAGACACTGGTTAAAGAAAAAAGCAAGCAGCAGTGCGGTGGGCAGCTGAAGGATGAAGGTCTCTGCATCTTCAGCCCAGGGGAGCCTTCTGTTACGGTGTGCACGGCTGCCTTTCTGCACCAGGCCAAGAGTCTTCCCCCACCCCCCTCCCAAAAATTAAAGTGGCTTATTTTTCAGATTTCAGAAGGAAGAGCTTCTGCATGGTGACCTGAGTCCATAAGGGCCCCTCGCCCCCCTCAAGGAAAACAGAGGCCGCTTCACAGAGTGCTCTAACACTTGGGATGTGGTAGTAGAGGGCTGCAGGCTGCACAACTGGGAACAGGACGACATGACCACAGCCCTGTGCCTCTCCATCCCTGCCCTGCCTCTCCTTGGGCTCTGTGGAGCTCAAACCCCAGGATGGCCCAACATGAAACAGGGCAGAGAAGGTGGTTGAAGCCCAGGGGCACCTTTGGCAGACCTGCGAGGGGCTGTGCTCTTCTGTCTCCTGTGCCCCCCACAATGTCATTTGTACTTTCCAGAGCCTAGGGTTGTTTCTGACACACAGTAACACTAGGTGAATTAAATTCATTCCTGAACGACTCTGTGCAATGCGTCCCAATGCTCCTGCTGCACAGCTAGAACAGGGAGGCTCTTGGAAATGATCTGCCTCAAGCCTGACTGCAGCATGCATGGAAAGCTGAAGACCTTCCCAAGTCCAGAGGCAAGAGGCAGGGCTGGAGGCCCTGGCTGCTGACTGCCCTCTACGTCCTGCTATCCTTCACTCACACAGAGGACAGCAGGCCTTTCTCTGCCTCTAGGAAAGAGTAGCTTGCCATCAAGTCCAAGCTGCTTGGCAGGCATGGATAGGCTCCCTTCCCCACCAGTGTTGGATGATCTTGCAGGGCTCCATGCTCACTTGGGAGACTACCTCAGGACCAACACTATCCTCTGTCTTTGTCAGATGATGCTTCAGCCCTTAAGAGCCCTCTGACCTGCAGAGTGACATGTGGGGGGACAAGGCTACAAAGCTCCGGCAGGCTGATGTGGGTGTTGGTCGTTGGTCGCTGCGTGCTGGTGGCTCAGAGGGAATTTCTTTCTTCTATAACCTCACTCTGCTTGACAAGTCTAAGCAAGAAGTAAAGCCAAATAGGCTCTACACACAGTACCGGTCAAACCTGCCATGTCACGACTGCCAAAGCCAAGCATCAAGCCCAGGAGAAGGTGCCAAGGTGAACAAGTCACAGGAACGTGAGCTTGGTCCCGGGCCTGACACCACTGCTCACTTAGGTGTACCTGCTCTCTGCCACCCTGCCAGGAAGCTCCATGAGGACTCAGGGTTGTTTTAATGCTCCCAAGAGAGTTTCAACTAAACCCAGACAAAGCTGAAAGCAGCAGAATCCCGGAGAAGTCTGCACGCACAGGACATTTTACTTACACCCATTCTGCCCCTTCCATCCAAATGGAAGAAAACACAAAGGGCCCTGACATTCCCACAGACATGGAAGGACATGAGCAGGTATGGAGGCCCCGCTCGCTGCCCCAGTGCGGGCCTGCACTGAGCCCTGAGCAACTCCCCTGTGTCTGCAGAAGGGGCGGAGGAACACAGCTGGAGCCGTGGGAAGCAGACTGGGAGTGGGAGGACAGGGAGGAGGGAAACAGTACTGCCCAGCTGGAAATAACTGAGAGGGGAGGGAAGGGGACGTGGTGAAGCACGTCTTTCCTTCCCGGGGCAGAGTAGGGAGGTGGGGGAAGCAATCTGCAAGGAGGAAAGCTCAAGGCCAAAGAGGGAGGTCTCAGAGAACGTCGGGTCACTCAGGAGTACTTACTCAGCAGCGAACTTGTCCAGCCTCTGGAAGAGCTCCTGCTTCACTTTCAGATTCTCCACAATGGCCTCCACCACCAGATCCGTGCTGTGGACCACAGATGCAGCGTCTGTGCTGATGGATATGCTGCTCATGGTCTTCTCCACAAACTCATCGCTGGCCTAATGCAGAGGACAGGACAGCGGCCATCAGTGGGCCTGCGGGACAGTGGTGTATCTTGCTGCCAGGGCAGAAGGATGGCTGGCTGGACAGACCACCATGCTCAAACATCAGGAAGTCTGGGAGCGCAAGCTGCCTATATTTCTGCTCAGGGACCACAGCATCTCTGTGTTCCAGGTACAAGGACAAGGGTCTGCCTGAATAACTCTAACTGGCTAACAACCACTAAGCTGCCCGTACTGTCAGCGGTGATCTTTCCAGTCCCGATGCAGCTCTGCTTCACTGGCTAAACTGTTCAGGGCACCTGCCCGGCCCACTCTATCTGTTCTAGAGCATCTGTGAAACTATCAATCGCTGGCCCAAGGACAAAAGTGTGGCTCAGCACTTTTTGGCAAGAAGTGGTACTCATTACTGCCTCTAAGAGGAGGCAGAAGAAGAAAGCCGAACTCAGTGGTCATTCATCAAATAACCATAACTTATTATATGCCAGCAACTGATGTCTCAAAAATGAGATGGACACAGCCTCTGTTCTCAAACAGCCTGTAGCCTGTCCTTTCGTACTTCTCTTGGGACCCCATTTCCACAAACACACCTTGGCTGGGCCAGACTCAGGGTGAATGCCTTTAGAGGCTGCCATTCTACTTCAAGGTGGAATTTGTTCACAAGGCACTATAATAGTCAAATCAGTAGAAAGTACCCCAAATCAGCATGGTATGCATGGTATAAATAAACAGCTACATCAGAAAGGTTCACAGAAATGTGAGAAAATGGGTGATTTTAAATTTTTTATCAGTTATGTCGAAAGGTAAAGAAACTAACAGATAAAATTAATTTTATTCAACTCAACCTAAGATACAAGCACTTCAACATGTAATCAATATAAAAAAAAGGCCGTAATGTTTTATATGCTTTTCCCCTATTAAAATCTAGTATGTCATTTGCACTTCGAGCTCATCTCTGTCCACAGCAGTCATTTTTGGAGTGCTTAGGGCTACCTGTGGCTAGCGGGCACAGCATTGGTTAACACATGCTAGATACATGATACATAGAGCATGCCAACTAAGCAAGTTGGAATTGACACCCAGTATGCTAGTGTTCACAACAGCTAAAAGGTAAAAATAACCCAATTCCACTAACCAATTAATGGATAAGCAAAATACTATATATATATATATATATATATATATATATATAGTGTGTGTGTGTGTGAACATGCAATAGAGTATTATTTAGTCATAAAAAGGGATGAAATTGTGACAGACTAGAAGTGGGATGAATTCTAGTATGCTAAATGAAAAACAGCCAGAGAGAAAAGCATAATCATGTATGATTACACTTACACACAATGCCTGGAATAAGGAAGTTGATAGACCTGAGATCCCAGGGGACTGGGGGTGTGGTATAGGAAATCAGTGCTACATGGAAATGTTTGAAAACATGCAACAGGATCAGAAACACAGTGGAGATCTGTTAGTACCACTGAGGTGTGTATTCACAGGGCTCCAAATGGCAGACTCTACGTGTTGTATGTTTTATCATAATAAAATAATCTATGAAAGCAACCACACACAACGAAGTAAAAACAACAAATGCCCTATATACACTCTTTTTTGCTTGCATATGGAGGGATATTCCATTCAAGCCTCAAGGATGTCAATCATACGAAATATTAGTAAGGTGACCAAGGCAGTAAGAGTTTAACTGGGTAACATGTACAGTATTTCTAATTAAATGGGATCTGCCAATGAAAGTTTGCTGGAAACAGCAGGTTCCTATGAGAGCCAGCAAGCCAGGGTTCCTGCTCACTACATGGTCTTCCAGTCTAGGACTTGTCCTATGCTTCTTCTCCAGTTTATCCTAAACAGTTAGAAGTTTCAATAGAAACACAATCTTTATTATGTTATTCTGTTTTTACCTTGCACGAACAAAAAGTATCTTCTTTCTTCTTCTCTTCTTCTTTTGGTCAAAGCAATGGTCTTCAGTCCTAAATTCTCAGTGTTCTTCTAGAATGAGATCAGGGCCTGCAGATACTTCCTCTTCAACCTCCAACCCAACCTTCCTTCTGTTTCCTAATCAGCTCCCCAAACATTTAGCGACGTATTATTTTGGTTTAAAATCATGAGAAAGTGAGTTTTATACTGACACAGATCTCACACACACACACACACACACACACACACATGTGCACACACAGAGTAAGCTAAAACTAAAAACTGTTCAAAAATGTGAAGCGGTCAGAAACTGATCTTAGGGGCATCAATAATAAGAAATTACCTTAAGGTTTTCTGCAAACTTCTTCTTTGCCACCTTCCTCAGGCTGTTCTCAATTCCCTTTTTGGATTTTTCCAGGATGTCCTCTGTTTGGTCCACCAACACAACTGTGTGGCCAGTTGCTGCTGCAACCTAAAGCCAAAAAAAAAAAAAGATTAAATTTTTTTTTTTTTTTGGCTAGGCACTGGTGGCTCATGCCTGTAATCCTAGCTACTCAGGAGGCTGAGATCTGAGGATCCAGTTCAAAGCCATCCTGGGTAGCACAGTCTGTGAGACTCTTATGTCCAATTAACCACCAGAAAATGGGAAGTGCCGCTGTGGCTCAAGTGGTGGAGTGCTTGCCTTGAGCTGAAGAGCGCAGGGGCAGCGCCCAGGCCCAGAGTTCAAGTCCTATGACTGACAAAAAAAAAATAGAAAGCATAAAAAAATTTACATTCCACATAAATTCTATCACCATTTTACTCAAAACAGCCTGTGAGCTGAGAGCAGGTAACTCAGGCCTATAGTCCTTGCTACTCAGTAGGCTGACATCTGAGGATAACAGGTCAAAGTCAGCCCAAGCAAGAAAGTCTGTGAAGCTCCTATCTCCAATTAACCACACACACACACACACACACACACACACACACACACACACACACACACACACAAAGTGAGAAGTGGAGTTGTGGTTCAAGTAGTAGACTGCCAACCTAGAGTGAAAAGGTGAAGGGCCAGCTCCCAGATGCTGAGTGCAAGCCCCAAAACAAAAACAAAAGCAAATATGGCACACGCGCATAAGAAGAAACATCTTGCCAGCTACAGCCCTCTGTGCAGTGAGTCTAGACCACCTTGCCACCTGGCTCCTCAGAGCAGAGCCCCCGCAGCTCACCCCTGCAGCACACCCCTGCAGAGCACCCTCAGCCTGTCTTTTCTGCACTCTTCAGTCAAAAGCAGGAGAGATTTTAAATTCTTATAAAGATGGCCAAAAAAATAAAACCAACAAATTCTCAACTTGTCTCCTTACTCCAAGAAAAGTCAAGACTTCAGCCACCAACCAAGTAGGCCAGGAATGAATTCCCTTTCCTCCTGTGCCAAGGCATAGGGTTGTTTACTGAAGTTGCCCAAATTCACTTACAATCATCTTGGTTTAGCCACAGTCAGTGACAAGTTTCACTGTTTCACCACAGTTGATAAGAGCTTTGGCAAGAATGTGGCTACAAACAGGCCAGCAGGTCACTTTACAAACTGTAAGTGAACCAGTTCAAGCCAGAAGCAAAAGGCACCCATGACCTACTGCAAACCTGATGGGAGAGGCCAGCGCCACTGAGCGGCCCCCAAGGATCCAGAAGACCTCTGCAGATCCACTGGGCTGCAGCCTCTCGGCAGAGGCCACATGGAAAAGGGCAGGTTGGCTGGAGTAGCGTGTCCACAGAGAGGAGATGGAAGTAAGTACTAGTCCCAAGTCACTGTCACTGTGTGAGATTTTAAAGCCAGGTGACTAAAACTGAATGCAGAAAATCACAAGGAAAACAGAAACAAAAGACCAAACTGTAAACGCAAAGATGTTTACATCCCAAAGCAAGATTTCCAAGGGACACCTCTGAAAATGCTAAGACAAGCTTAAGGCGCCAGTTAGTGACCACTGCACCTGGCTTCTCCTATATGATGGGCATGAGTCTGCGCCCCTGGGCCTGTGGGTGGCACCAGCATCCCAAAGCTGACAGCGGTCTGGGAACCAGGGAAAGGAAAAGCTGCCAGGCCTCAAGGACTGACGGGAGCGGTGCAACAAGGGCAGCGTGGGAGGAGCCATCTTGATAAAAGGACAGATAACTTGCCTTGCTGCAGGGGGGTGCCACCCAGAAGAGCGACGTGCCCAAGGAAAACACCGGTCAATCCAGTGGCAACAGACAGAGGCCCCGAGAGCCAAGACAAATGTGATCCGGCAATTCAGGAAATTCAGAGTAATGGATCTGAAAACTTTAGAAGAGACAACCTGGCAGGCTCAAGTCAGCTACCCCTAGGAGGCCTGCCCTGCAAGGGTGGCCATGATTCTCACCTTTCGACCTTGAGATTCCACAGAGCTCTTACCCTTCCTGGAGCAGTACAATTCATACAGCTTGCTAGGGCCTAAATATTCCGTACAAATGTAGCTCTCTGCTGAATGCTTGCTGTGCTGAGAGTGTGGAACTGTGGTCCACTACCATCCTCAGTAAAAACCCTGGACACTGAGCCACCGTTTTACATGTGCGGTTGCAACCTGCTGTGGGGATCTGAGCAGGTCCTGTGTGACAGACAGCCTGATGTCCTGCCCACCTGCACTTCACTGCCGGCCCTTCCTCTTGCTGCCTTTGCCTTGCGACAGGTAAATTCCATCAGAATACAACTGGAGGAGAGACACTAAACTGACCCAGAAAGTAAGAGAATCAATCTGAAATTCCAGGAACCAGCAGGCAGGAGTGAGGGTCGCATGACGGGGTCTGCCACCTTTGGGGCAGGGGTGCTATGAGGACTTCCTGCTCTTGGCTTGGCTCCTCTGCTGGCAGTCTCTGAGGCAATGCACACAAGAGATCTGCCCTTGGTCCTCACTCACTTCTGTTTTAGGTCACTGTGTAAGCAAGCCAAACAGATTTCTGGTCTCTTATCTGCCTACAAGCCAACCCACTGTGTCTGAAGGAGTGCCAACCTTAAGAAAGTGGGCTACAGCACAAATGGAGGGTGAAGGGGAGGTAGTATTTTTAGAAAGCTTTTTCTAAAATTTATTATTATTATTATTATTTTGGGGCTGGTCTTGGGACTTGAATTCAGGACCTGGGTGTTGTCCCTGAGCTTTTCTGCTCAAGGCTAGCACTCTACCACTTGAGCCACAGTGCCATTTTTGGCTTTTTTGGTGGCTAGTTGGAGATAAGAGTCTTGCAGACTTTCTTGAGTGGGCTAGCTTTGCACCACAATCCTAAGATCTCAGCCTCCTGAATAGGCAGGATTATAGGTATGAGCCACTGGCATCTGGCTCTAAATTATTATAATATCGTTTGAAAGTGATCATCACTAAACATTTTGGTTATGTTGCAGAAATGGCAAAATGCTAGCCTCATAATTATATTTTATAAACCTGGAGAGAAGATAAACACCACATAAGGAAGACAGATCACATCTGCACATTTAGAAAAACAGTAAAATCCAGCCAAAAAGAGCATGGCCAGAAAACATGGCCTCAATGCTGACCTTCCACTACTATATCCAAAGTCCTCCGATAAACACAAACAGAAGACACTGCCAACTCAGCCTCTGCCTTTCCCCATCCTGGCATTCACAAGAACACATCAGAGGCGCCACATAAATGCAGGCACTGGCCAAAACACTATTAAATCAAGGCTTCCCAGTCAGCGTGCCAGGAGAGAGAAGTACATGGCACACGATCATGATCATGTTAGAGTGACTGAGTGTATAAAGCATGTTTGTTTTCCTACCTTAATTAGAAGATGCAGTAGGAGCAAGGAAGGGCCAAACCTGACAGAAAAAAAAAAAATCTTTCCAGGAAGTTAGAACAGATCACAGCCTGCTTTGCAAATCTCATCTCTGCCTCACAGGTTAGAAAAAGCTTCATTTCTCAGAGGAACCTGGGCTCACTGTCTCCCCTACCTCTGTCAAATGCCTGGAGGAACTTCTATTGCTGTGACCTACTACATAGCAAGAAAGCCCATTGCTGCATAACTTCAAGTGACTCCACGTTACAACAGCGTTTTTTCCCCCACTTATCTGCAGAAATCAATCCAACATTCACGTCTTGCAATCACTTCCAACAGACAGGCTCCAGAGACAACTGCTTACAGGCAACTTCATGCCTTATTCACCTTTGCAAAGCCCAGGTATCTATAATGCCGTAATGCTGGTGGTGCATTAGCTGCTTCACAGAACATCCACAGGATTAGGTGTGTTGATTCGCCTTTGCTTGCAACCTTGCTTCACAGCGGCATGGTACTTTTCTCCTCTGGCTGGGTCAGCCCAAGAGCTACCATAGGGTAGACTCTTATCCAGCTCTTACACACCCCACTCTCCCTTCCCACACCCCAGGCAATCCAGCAGAGCTGCAGGTCCTCTATTCAGACTGGCTAATTCAGGAAGGCAGTCACAGGCTTTCTGGAGGCTGGCATACTTCTTCCTGAGTTATTCATGTACTTGTGCCTCCTCCCAGGAAAGCCAGTGGAGGTCTCTACCTAATCTCAACTAATAGAAAGAGCTTAAATCTTCAATTGAAAGAAAGCCACGTACAGTAAAAACAAAAGCACTCACTGTCAATCTTCAATCTGCATTTTCCCAAGTCAATTTCTGAAGTAGACAACATCCTTTTTGAAAAAAAAAAAAAAAAAAAAGATGAAATGGGATTAGAGAGGGTGTGTCACTTGCCCAAGAACACTCAGACCCTTGGCCAGGCACCAGTGGCTCAAGCCTGTAATCCTAGCTACTCAGGAGGCTGAGATCTGAGGATGGAGGTTCAAAGTCAGCCAGGGCAGGAAAGCCCACGAAATTATCTCCAATAAACCACCAGAAAACTAGTAAGTGGCGCTGCAGCTCAAGTGGTAGAGCGCTACCCTTGAGCTGAAGAGCTAAGGGACAGTGCCCAGGCCCAGAGTTCAAGCCCCACAACCGACGAAAAAATTAAAAATTAAAAAAAATTAAAAAATATATATATATACTTTAACAGTCCCTACAAAACTGTGTTAGTGTTCCATTTTGTTGATGAATCGAGAGAAACTGAGGCTTAGAGAGGTTAAAATTGTATGTCTATGCACATAGCTAGTACATGATACACAAACACACACCACCAGTAAGTCATCTTTTAACTTCAAGTCACAGTCATGCTAATTACAAAAACTGCTCAACAAAACAGAGCAGCTATCTACACAAATGAGTTTCTGTATCAGTGTTATAGACACAAAAGCAATCCAAGGGGCTGGGAAGGTGGCTCAGTGGTAGAGTGCTTGCCTTGCATGCCTGAGGCCCTGGGTTTGATTCCTCAGTACCACATAAGAAAAAAGCCGGAAGTGGCGCGGTGGCTCAAGTGGTAGAGCGCTATCCTTGAGCTGAAGAGCTGAGGGACAGCGCCCAGGCACAGAGTTCAGGCCCCACGACCGGACCCCAAAAAAACAAAA